TACTGACGCTGAGGACAAGGTTCCTGATGGTGAGGACAAGATTCCTGACGCTGGGGACGAGGTTACTGACGGTGAGGACAAGGTTCCTGACGCTGAGGACAAGGTTCCTGATGGTGAAAACCAGGTTCCTGATGGTAAAGACAAGGTTCCTGACGCTGAGGACAAGGTTCCTGGTGGTGAGGATGATGTTCTTGACGGTGAGGACAAGGTTCCTGACGGTGAGGACAAGGTTCCTGACCTTGAGGACAAGGTTCCTGACGGTGAGAACAAGGTTCTTGACGGTGAGGACAAGGTTCCTGACGGTGAGGACAACGTTCCTGATACTGAGGACAAGGTTTCTGACGGTTAGGACACGGTTCCTGACGGTGAGGACAAGGTTCCTGACGCTGAGGACAAGGTTGCTGACGGTGAGGACAAGGTTCCTGACGGTGAGAACAAGGTTCCTGATGGTGAGGACAAGGATACTGACGGTGAGGACAAGGTTCCTAACGGTGAGGACAAGGTTCCTGACATTGAGGACAAGGTTCCTGACGGTGAGAACAAGTTTCCTGATGCTGAGGACAAGGTTCCTGACTGTGAGGATACGGTTCCTGACGGTGAGGACAAGGTTCCTGAGGCTGAGGACAAGGTTACTGGCGGTGAGGACAAGTTTCCTAACGGCGAGGACAAGGTTCCTGACGCTGAGGACAAGGTTCCTGACGGTGAGGACAAGGCTCTCGATGCTGAGGACAAGGCTCCTGACGCTGAGGACAAGGTTCATGACGCTGAGGACAAGGTTCCTGACGGTCAGGACAATTTTCCTGACGCTGAGGACAAGGCTCCTGACGGTGAGGACAAGATTCCTGATCTGGGGACAAGGTTACTGACGGTGAGGACAAGGTTCCTGACGCTGAGGACAAGGTTCCTGATTGTGAAGACTACGTTCCTGATGGTGAAGACAAGTTTCCTGACGCTGAGGACAAGGTTCCTGGTGGTGAGGACGAGGTTCCTGGCGGTGAGGACAAGGTTCCTGATGGCGAGGACAAGGCTCCTGACGGTCAGGACAAGGTTCGTGACGGTCAGGACAAGGTTCCTCACTGTGAGGACAAGGTTACTGACGGTGAGGACAAGGTTCCTAACGGTAAGGACAAGGTTCCTGACGCTGAGGACAAGGTTCCTGACGGTGAGGATACGGTTCCTGACGGTGAGGATAAGATTCCTGACGCTGAGGGCAAGGTTACTGACGGTGAGGACAAGGTTCCTGACGTTGAGGACAAGGTTCCTGACGGTGAGGACAAGGTTCCTGACGATGGGGACAAGGTTCCTGACGCTGAGGACAAGGTTCGTGACGCTGAGGACAAGGTTCCTCACGCTGAGGACAGGGCTCCTGACGCTGAGGAGAAGGTTCCTCACGCTGAGGACAAGGTTACTGACGGTGAGGACAGGGTTACTGACGGTGAGGACAAGGTTACTGACGGTGAGGACAAGGTTTCTGACTGTGAGGACAAGGTTCCTGACGGTGAGGACAAGGTTCCTGACGGTGAGGAGAAGATTCCTGACGCTGGGGACGAGGTTGCTGACGGTGAGGACAAGGTTCCTGACGGTGAGGACAAGGTTCCTGACGGTGAGAACAATGTTTCTGATACTGAGGACAAGGTTCCTGACGGTGAGGACACGGTTCCTGACGATGAGGACAAGGTTCCTGACGCTGAGGACAAGGTTACTGACGGCGAGGACAAGGTTCCTAACGGTGAGGACAAAGTTTCTGACGGTGAGGACAAGGTTCCTGACGGTCAGGGCAAGGTTCCTGACGCTGTGGACAAGGCTCCTGATGCTGAGGACAGGGTTCCTCACGCTGAGGATAAGGTTACTGACGGTGAGGACAAGGTTACTGACAGGACAAATTCCTGACGCTGAGGACAAGGTTCCTCACCCTGAGGACAA